ACCCCCAATTCATCATTCTCATATATCCTCTTCGTGTCCAATTATATTACAATTTTTTCTCCTCTCCTATTTTTTGCATTATTTTAATATTTTGTATCGGAAATGTAAATATGGTAAATAATTTTAGAGGGAGGGACTAATAGGATAGATGCTAGCTTAGGATAGGTCATAATTATAATCATTACACTTAAGGGGGTGGGGTTGTTTTAGGATGGACATCATTACACTTATGACTTATGACTTACTCTCTCCGTCCCTAAATAAAGTTGCTCTTTCGTTTTTTCTTTGTCACTAAATAAACTTCTTTTTTCCCTTAAAAAACCCCTTTTACCCCTTACTTTTTCATACCCTACCTATCACATCATATTTTTTTTACTAATAATCTACATATCACATCTTACTTTAACACATCACATCAAGGGTATTTTTGGAAAGTCAACACCAAAATATCCATTTCTTAAATCCTCAAAAAGTCAAAAATGTAATTTTATTTAGGTACGGAGGGAGTATGAGATTGGGGATACTCTGTATTTTACTAGGAGGGACTGAGGGAGTATAGTATGGGACCATGGGGGTAGGAGTAGGGATATTTTAGGAGGGAGCGTAGTAATTGGAATGAATCATTACACTTTATGAGAGTGGGGATTATTCTAGGAAGGACTGAGGGAGTATATGTATGGGACCATGGAGGAGAGTTGGGATATTCTAGGAGGGGGTATATGGGACCAAGGGGTGCGGGTGGGGCTGGAGGAGGAAGAGAAGAAAAATGGAGGGGGAGGATCGGTGTTTTGAAGAAGATGAAGAAAGGGTGGAGAACTGAGAGAAAAAAAGAAAAAGGTTTAAAATCATAAAATTAAAATTTATAAAATTATAATTTGACCCCAAATGACTAAATGTAATTTAGAAACCACCTATTGAACCACTAGTAAAAGAATGTTGAAAAATCGTGCACTTTTCTAATAAGAATTAAAATTTATATACCAAATTATAAATATATAATAAGAATTTGTACATTTATTAGAATCATTACACCTCGCTAATATTTTACGAGGGAGTATATGGGACCATGGGGTGCGAGTGGGGCTGGAAGAGTAAGGTAAGAAAAAATGGAGGGGCAGAGTAGGGGTCTTGAAAAAGATGAAGAAAAGGGTGGGTACTTATTAACTTCTTTCGTTCATATATATTTGTCACACTTGTATTTCTGAGATAAAATATCAAATTTTATCAATTTATTTTATTTACATATTGATATAAAAATAAAAAATAAAATTTACATATCAAAAAACTACTCCCTCCGTTCTCAAAAATACTTTCTCTTTCATTTTTTCAACTTCCAACAAAACACTTTCTCTTTTTAAAATAAACCACTTTACTCTTATTTTTTCATACCCTACATATTACATCATACTTTTTCTCTAATAATCTATTCATCACATCTTACTTTTACCCATCACATCAGGGGTAAAATTGGAAATCAACTACTCCCTCCGTCCCATAAAACCTTTCACCTTTCTTTTTTCATCCGTCCCAAAAAACACTTCTCATTTCTATTAAAAAGTCACTTTTACCCCTTACTTTTTCATACCCTACCTATCACATCATACCTTTTTACTAATAATCTACCCATCAAACCCTACTTTTACCCATCACATCAAAAGACATTTTTGGAAATTCAATACCAAAATACACTCCCCTTAAATCTCTTCAAAAAGCAAAACATCCCATGTTTTATGGGACGGAGGGAGTATAATTTAACACTTCCTTATTTTTGCCCCCAAATCAAAATGAGAAATCTTTTTACAAGCGGAGGTAGTACATGAAAAGTTCTTCGAAGTAATAGGTGTCAAGAATATTTATTACTCTCTCCATCTGGAAATGTTTTTCCCATATTGACTGGACACTTATTAAAGAATAGTAAAAAAATGCAAAAATTTCAAAAATGCACATACTATAAACTTTTAAATCTTCTTTTATTATTAAAAAAATATTTTAAAAGTATCTTGTGATAAAATAGAAGGGTATTATTGATATTTAGCCTTCAAAAGTATACTAAAAAGGAAATGGAAAGAATATTTCCAGACGAACCAAAAAGGAAAATGGAAAGAATATTTCCGGGACAGATCGAGTATATTATATTCCGTAAGTTTCTAATTCCCCAATTCATCATTCTCATATACGGAGTATATTCCAATTACGGAGTGATTATTTTGAGTTTGGATTTTTTATTTCAATTTTATGTACATAATTATATATTTCCTCCACCTATCGAAGATCTTCTCATTGCGTGTAATGAGGTTTGATCGACTTTATTTTCAATTCAATTTACTTCTTCCGTCCATAAATAGATTACTCCTTCCGTCCTAAAATTAACTTCTCATTTGACTTTTCACGGTCTCCAATGTGACACTTTGATCATCAATATCTCAATTTTTATATAAATATATTTTATAAAAATTATATATTTCAAAACTATGTTTCAAAATGAATCTATTGCTAATAAATTTATATAAAAATTCAATGTATTTTTTCCGTAATATACGGTCAAAGTTTAAAAAGTTTGACCACAAAAGTCAAACCGGGAAATTAATTTTAGGACGGAGGGAGTACAATTTTTTCCTCTCCTCTAGATAACTTTTTTTGTTTCTGCGATTTCATTAAGTATTTGATAAAATAAAATATTCTTATCACCTCTTGTTTTGTAGAACTTTTGACGTAGTTTTTTAATATGTAATTTTTCTATCTTATTGACATTCCAATTTGTAAATAAAATGATTTCAAAAAGTAAAAATTTTTACTCCGTAACCCGCAATTTGTAATCAAATTGGGGACGAAGGTCATTGTAGGGATAAAATTTAAAAATAAAATTTATATAGGAAAAAAGTACATAAAAAGTTCTAAAAAACTAGAAGTGACAATACTATTTTAATTTATGAAATGAGTGGTTAAAAAAAGTAAACAAAATGAGTTAAGTTTGACTTTGTGAATAGTATTTGGGAAGATCTATGGGGGGCAGAGGGAGTACACATATACAAATCAATCTTGAATGCTTATAGTCTTTAATTTATACTCCCTCCGTCCCAATTTAAATCGTCTGTTTTGACTTTTGGGCATATTTAAGGAAAATAAAAAATAAAGTTGATTTTTCGAAATTGACAATACTTTTTAAGAGGGGTGATGATGAATGAGAAGATAAGATGAAGAAGTGTGACTTATTTTAGGGGTAGTTTAGGTATTTTATTTTTAAAAGTTTACGAAATCAACTAACAGGCAACTTATTTTGGGACGGAGTAAAAAGACAAACATGCAATTTAAAATGTGACGGAGGGAATAGTTTAATTGGAGACATACTTGTTTTTTTATAAAAATTAACGTATGCATAAAACCATCCAGCATTCTTATGTTTGAGGATTAAGCTATTTGGAAACCAAAACTTGCACTCCATTTTGTATTCCAAAAGCGTGCATCGAACTAACATTTCGTGCTCATGCAATATTGTTTACATTGACAAAAATTGTTAACGTAATTTTTTTTTAAAAGAACTAACATTTGTACCGGTGTGAACCGTAAATATCTGTATATTTGTTTGGAATACAATTTGGATACATTTTTAGTGCGCCATTGCATGATTGTAGATAGAATTTCATCCATTTATTATTTATTCCTCCCATCTCTGCTATCAGCATATATGAGGTCTGGTACATGATTTAATGTCGGGTCATGCTACACTTACACCACAAATTGTACCCCATTTGTACACCGTAGTTATACACAAATACTTTGATGGTTTACACCGACACAAGTGTTGATGCGTTAACAAAAATTTACACGGACACAAAGTGTCGGTGCATTAACAAAAATTAGTTTTACACCAACACAAAGTATCGGTGCAAACCTGCGGGGTACAAAGTGGGGTATAAAAGTTGGGGTAGAAATAGCTTTATCCTTTAATGTCTTATGGTCCACTTGAGATAGATATCTCCGTGTAAACTTAATTGCCAAATACGTAGTATTTAAATTTAATACCAAATACGTAGTATTTAAATTTAATACCTACCGTCTTAAAATTAACTTTTCATTTGACTTTTTACGGTCTCCAATGCTGCACTTTGACCACTAATATCTTTATTTTTATATGAATATATATTATCAAAATAATATATTTGAAGTGATGTGAAAATTTTGACTTTTGCAGTCAAAATTTTTAAACTTTGACTGCATATTACGCAAACAATATCTTGAATTTTCATATAAATTTAATATCAACAGATTCATTTTAAAACATAGTTTTGAAATATTTTCACATCACTTCAAATATATTCTTCTGTCCATATATCTCTGGTTCCGTCTTGAATAATTTATCTAATTTATATCTTGGGCCAGATAAAATTGGGCTTTCTTGTACTGTTCAAATGATATTGGATTAGGAAAAATCCCTAATCCATCAAATAATTATTTTTTTTATGAATTTTATCATTATTAGATTGTTTGTTTCATTATATGTAATTAATTTACTGGTTTCTATAATTCTTTTTGTTATTCAATTATGAGAAATAAAGAAAAAAATTGATTTAAAAAAAATAATAGAGGAACAAAGTTGAGAAATTAAGAAAAAAAATTGATTTAAAAAAAATAGTACTCCCTCCGTCCCATGAAACATGAGACTTTTGCTTTTTAGGAGAGATTTAATTAAGGGGAGTATATTTTGGTATTGAATTTCCAAAAATGTCTTTTGATGTGATGGGTAAAAGTATGATTTGATGAATAGATTATTAGTAAAAAGGTATGATGTGAGAAGTGGTAAAGGGTAAAAGTAACTTTTTAATAGAAATGAGAAGTGTTTTGTGGGACGGATAAAAAAAGAAAGGAGAAAGGTTTCATGGGACGGATGGAATATAAGTTACTTCGAGATGGGGTGCATGTCGCTCTTTACAAACCAGAGGTATATTATAAGTTACTTTTAAAACCACGAGGGGTGTTAGAGCTCCTTTTTGAAACCATAGAGGGCTGTGGTGCATTTATACCTTGAAACATATATATAAAAAAGAAATCCAATAATAATAACTGTCATCTAAAAATGATCGCAGTCGAATGGCTTGAAGCTAAGGGATTTATCAACCAAATCAAATAAGATGATATAGTCAATTTGTGAGAGGTTTCCCCAAACGGAAGCGCCGTTTGATATCGGCAGGCAAACAACACCATCACCTACATAAAAGTTGAGCAATGCTTTGGGCGAGAGCTGAACGACGGCGNGGACGGTGGGAATATATTCTTAAGAATTATATTGAAACATATATATAAAAAAGAAATCCAATAATAATAACTGTCATCTAAAAATGATCGCAGTCGAATGGCTTGAAGCTAAGGGATTTATCAACCAAATCAAATAAGATGATATAGTCAATTTGTGAGAGGTTTCCCCAAACGGAAGCGCCGTTTGATATCGGCAGGCAAACAACACCATCACCTACATAAAAGTTGAGCAATGCTTTGGGCGAGAGCTGAACGACGGCGCCCCCGGCAAAATGTGCCGCCACCGTGGGAAACACTTCCGCGGCTATGTCAGATGCATTGTAACAAAGTTTATAATATGTGCCTCCGGTTGGGTCACTCACCGGGGTGCTCTTCACCACACTTCTCAACTCGTTTATCAACGCATCGTGCAACTCATTTCGGAGATAGGTTAAAGTGGACCCTGAGTCGACCACCATTCCGCTGGTCGACTTATTCAAGGGCTTGCTAAGCACCGTTTTGCCCCCGACACTAAAGTTTTCTAACGTGATCCAGTAGTACCCGTATTTCGTGTCGGCTATAGGGGTTGAAACGACTCCGTCCAGGTCTGCGATCACAGCGTCAGAGTCGAATGCGATGTGGCTTGAGACATTAGCATCTAAATACCACGGAAGACAATACATGAACCTCTCAATGTTGGCCTGTGTGATGAAGGAAATATTGTCATTGCCGAGGCCGAATATTCCGTTGGTCACTTGCGTGTTTACTAAAGAGTTATTGAACCCACACCCGAACACGAAATTCGAGAAGGACGTGTCACCGATTGCAAGAGTCTCGTAAGCTAAGTCTCCGTGAGTGTACGACGCGTCCATATAGCTGTAGTTATAATGGCATAGGTTGGTGGAGGTGTCGCATGAATACCAGCCACCCTCCAGACATATCGGGGTGTCACACGGCAACCTCGTGTATGACGAGCTCATTGACGGGTCGAACAAAGGCGTGTTCTGCGCGAAGCACAAGCCCGGACACGGCTCGCATTGTATCCACGTGAGATCGCTTCCGGTGTCCACCAACGCAAGCCTCTCTACCGGGGGCGTGCCAATTGAGAATTTCATGGCGTAGTATCCGGCGGCGTACTCAAGATCACCTGCAAACTCACCCGTTGCAGGGCCGGGGAGGCCCTGAGTAGTAGTGGCCGCGCGTCGCCTCATTCTGGCGACGCGCGATTGGGATTGGACAAGAGCACCCTTTGCATAGTCAGCCCTAGGCGTAGAAGGGTTGTAGAAAGGCGAGTTTAGAGCATTGGTGTGGATGATATCAACGGTGAAACTGTGGCTTTGAACACAAAGGGAGGTAAAAATACCAAATATCACTTTAATGGTTTCTAAAGCTACCATGTTTTTTTAATGAGAACCTTTGATTTCTTCGATTTTGTGTATAGCACTGAAAAGTTAGTGCGTTGATTTTAATTTTTTTGTTTTATGGGTTGATGAGCTATGTGTTATTAATAGATTAACCAATTTATTATCTATCCTTGAATACATTAAACAAACATACGTTAACCAATTTATTATCTATCCTTGAAT